CAACTAACTCTCATTAGAGTATTAGTATGCTCAAGAATGGTATAATCCAGTATGGTAGAGTAAGTTGACGACATACTTGCAAATACACTTATAGTCAGTTTATCTGTTGGTTGACCATCAAAATAAAGTGTTAGCATATATTTACAGTAGCAGACATACTAATACTTTAATGACCGCTAGTAGATATGTAGTTGCAGAGTTATTTATCAACAGCTGTCTAAAGGGTACCATCAAAATAATCAAACTGATATTACAATAAAAATAGTTATTGCAAATATGTGTCATGTTACACATTCATCTGATCTGATTTTATAGCTGTTTGAGAGAAATTTTTATTATTATATTATTACTTATAAGTGGTTTTAAGTAAAGTAGCATAAGAAAAATGGCAAGATATGAGACTTATAATACATCATAACTATGAGAAATATAATCCATTGTAAAAGTGGATGCAACGTGTTCATTGTGTTATAAATCATCATACTCTTAAAAGCTATAACCACAAATAAGTAAATATTATAATATATTAAAACTGTTCTTATGAATATTCATGAGATGATACAACTTATTATAAGGTTTTTTATAATGTATTATGCATTCATTATAATGCCTTACGAATACCTTTATAATGTATTATAAATACGGGCTTCATAGAAAGTGTTACCAAAAACTTTTATTTTTGGATGAACTATTCAAGCTCAAGCTTAGCCCATGTTGCAATTTTGTACTACTAATAACAGCTGCATCTCTCTCATGTTTAGTAATGTTCTGAATTTATATTATGTATATGCTTGTGTAGCTTTCATATCCATTTGCTGTAAACAAAACTCAGCATTTCGACCTGCATTATCATTCTAATCTACATTTGCATAGGAAAAGTTAATACTGGGAGGAAATGCTGGATGTCATCATATTACTGGGGCAATAGTCATTACTGTGGTCCCCATAAAATTTGGATGGAGCAATCTCTCTCGCGTTCTTGGAACAGCGGATAGTAAACAGAGCTCAGTTAATAGAGTTTCAGCTGTAAAAATATGTGCGGGATATGATAATGCTCCACGTACACGAGTTTGTCTGATTACAGTTCCATATTTCTGTGCTGTCAGAGTGGCCATGCATGTAAATCATTTAGCTAAGAGATAATGATGACAATCAGGAAAAAGAGAAGTTACAGTCCTCTCATTTGTCACAGGCCCCTCTAAACAGGAAGTTGCAGAGGCAGCTAATAAAATTTTGGTCGTGTCATTTGCGTGTGTGGTGTTCTGTTATTTTCTGTGGTGGCTAGCACCCTTAGAGGAATAGTTCTATCATTATTTACTCATCCACATGCTGTTCTCCTGAAGAACACAAAAGTGGATATTTTGCTATTTTTACTCCAAAAATGGGGGAAAAACATCATAAAAGTGGTTTTGTGTTTATGTACAAGTCTTCTGAAGTCATATCATAGCTTTGTGTCATTTACTGAAGATCTTGCCCTTTGCAGAGTTCTCAAATCTCATTTGCACTTCATTTTCAGTCACGACACACAAGAACTAATGCAGCTTAGCATCATTTACACTGCACCATGCACAGTGCATCTTTACACTTTTAATGGATTTATTTATTTTCATGTTTTAGGTACATCTCCCTATAGAGATCGCTCAGTCATGCATTCATCCAATCTACTCCTGCACCGCTCATTACGTCGAGATGTTGCTCAAGGCCGAGGTTCCTCTGGTTTTTTCTGCCTTCAGAATGTCTGGCTTCACTCCCTCTCAGGTGCTGTATTTTAAGTTCTTCATTTTTAATCATACCACTTCAATCTTCTCTGTTTGTAAATAACCATGCATTTTGCATAGCTGGTTGGCATTCTGATATTTTTAGTGTCCCAGTCTTTCCAAATTTGTAAGGAGAGTTGTTTATCAATCTAGTGTCAACAAAAAAAGCTTTAAGGTTTCCATTTAAAGGTTCAGTAGGAGATCTTAGAAAATGCTAACTTTAGCCTGATAGCACTGAAAGCGAACGTCCCACCCTCCCTGCATTCGCCGTCCAAAGCCTCCTGAACACATATACGCTCACAGACCAGAATACCAGAAACAACATTACTACAATAGGCTACATCAGCGGTTCCCAATTCCAGTCCATATTCCGAAGTGAAGTAAACTTCAACGGATTTCCCCTGCTCAGGGAGTAGGGAGCAATGAACACTGAGTAGGGATCATATCGATCGGAGCACAGTTCATGCACGTAGCTCTCTTCTAATGAGCTGGTTATTTGAATCGGGTGTATTAACTAAGCGAGACACGCAAAATATGCAGAGCGTGTGAGAGCGAGGACTGGAATTGGGAACCACTGGACTACATCATGT